CCCAGGGCCGGGGGGGTGGCAAAAATCCAAGAGCGGCTCTGTTCCTACCATTCACAGCAAGCTGCAGATTTCAGTTCCATACTCCTTCCCCCTCCCTTTCCTGTTGGTGGTGGCCAAGGGAATGCTGGGAAATGTAGTTCTTTCCCTGCTCCAGGGCTGGCTCTATAGGCAGGGAGCTAACCCAGGAACTACAGCTCCCAGGGCCCCCCTGTTGGTTCTCAGCTCCCAGGCTGGATTCTTGCGCCTTTTGCACATCTGCTGCCCCAGCAACTGCTTGCTTTGCTGGTGCCTAGAGCCGGCCCTGGGAGGGCCGCACAGATATAGGGCCTGCTCCTGCAGAGTTACTTTCAGCAAATTCAGTGTGAGTTTTGGGTGAGCGAGGGAAGGCAAGATTGGGCCCAGGGAGAGGAAAACTTGCTGAGCCTACTGCAGCACTAATGGACCAATCAACTGTCGGACTTCAGTGATTTAATTTGAAATCATTTTATTTGGCTGTTGTCTGCCTTCATCCATGGAGCTTTTTCAGTTCCTTGTGGAAAAGAGCAAAATATACAATCATCACTTGATTTATTTGCTGATCATCTTTCTTCAGAAATGTGTGCATTAAATAATGTGAGCAACAACAGTTAATTTGAATAAAATTGCATAATATGTAAGTGCATATACATACACACATACAGTATGTATACTACCTAGAGCATTCTAGAGCATAAACAATGCAAAAGGTTGTCTTTTCAGTAACATTGGGAATGTGCATCGTTTGGGTAAATCACATTTATTTACGGAAGCTTTTGAAAGGGAAACTAACAGGAAGTTTAGGCCCATCATTTAGGTTTTTATTTAAAAGAAGGCAAAAAAAAAAAGGTTTTACAAAACCTAGTAATGTAATAATGATAGAACTGTTGTCACTGATCAGTATTTTTTAATTCAGTGACAACTGGTTTTAATTTCTTTGGATTTAAACATTTCCTGCAGTGTTTACAATCCGAACAGTGCGGCCAGACTCCAGGGTCAGGGCCAGAACCTGACTAGAAATTTGTCTCCCACATTTTTCTAGGCCAAGCAGAGTGGCGGGTGAAATACAGACGGTATCTGTGGTGAAAGGAGCATCAGTTTTAACACCTTAACCGGTTGCCAGGTAACACAGGTGAGGATATTTGTGTTTGAAAATGATGCACTTTAAAACCTGCCAGTAAACCCTTAAATACTCACAGCATCATTTCAAATGTACAACCCCTCAGAGCTAGAGCCTGCAGTCCTTGCTCAGGGTGAACATCTGCCTCGCTCCCACCCTGTGTTGGGGGACAAATGCAGGGACTAGAGAGGAGGGAACCCTCTTCCACAGTATGGAACAGGGAGCGGGGAACCAGGCAACTGATTTGCGAGGGTTACTCTAGCAGTTGGGCTGTCATGGATTGTGGCGAGATCGGTGGCTCTGGTCTGTGTGTGGACCCATTGGCCATCCCTCCGCCTCGCCCAGTCTCCACCAGGGAGCGTGATGCTATGGAGCCTGGCTGCATAGTGCACAGGGGAATGGGGGGTCAACCTTGTGGGGCTGTACCCACTGTGCCGTTCGGCTCGGCTGTAGTTTGGCCCTTGTCTCTCCACAGACAGGCACATTTCTTCTGGCATCCCTGGGGAACTTACCCCGAGTCAGAACGGCATGATTTGGCCCCTCCCTTCCTTTTTCCTGCCAGGATGCATTCATGCTTTACCATCACCCATAACCTAGATCCTTGGTCAAAAGGTGACACACCCCACGTCTCAGCCGACGTGAGCCTACTCAACCATTCCACTGATAGGGATTTACAGACGTGCCCATGTTGATCTTGGCCCTGCTGGATTTCATGCTATGGATTCAAAGGACACGGTTGCTACCAGTACTGCAGGTTTTCCTTTATGCAAGCGCTTAGCTCTTTTAGGTGGAATTCACTGACGTATGGTCCTGTGCTCTGCTTAGGGTGAGTGATTCGCCTGGAGCGTAACGGGTGCAGGCTGTCTGCACTGGGGTGAATTTCACCCTTCGAGGAGCCATGTTAGTTTGTTTCATTTCTTGGCCGTATTTAATTAAGACACCGTAACCAGTGCTGTAAGCCCTGGGAGGAAAGCAATGTAGCCATCAGAAACCCGGCTCAGTTAGGTTTGGCTAATAACAGTGTTAGTCAAGTATCAGAGGGATAGCATGTTAGTCTGGATCTGTAAAAAGCAACAGAGTCCTGACGAAGGGGCATTCCCCCACGAAAGCTCACGCTCCAATACAGCTGTTAGTCTATAAGGTGCCACAGGACTCCATGTTAGGTAAGTTGATGCTACTTAGCAGGTGTAACACACTGTTCTTCACAGCCATGTGTAAAATGGTCCCAACTGCTCCCCTTCTGTGTCGGTGAGAAATTTCTCTCTAAAAAACCACAACACACTGATTGCCCAACAAGCTGCCTTGAGCAGAAAGGCTGGAGTAGCTATTGCATTGGCTCTATGCTGACCAGAGGCAATAGATTTTGGAAACAAACAGAATTCTGCTGCCCGAATAAGCAACAGTCTCTTGAACTAGCAGAGCGCGGGGAGACCAGACAATGTGCTTGTGGGGGTTGCTTTCACTTTTTAAGAGATGTGCTGAATCCCCAGTGCGCATAGACTTGGCATGTGACGCCGCTGGGGCTCACGCCGGGGATATTGGTTAATCGTCTGATGCCTTTGTCACAGGCCATGGCCACTGACTGCTGCGATCAGACGGTCGGTATCCAAAGGCATTTTATCGGGGACACAGTGAATGATAAGAAACCAAGATGGGCCCGAGCCAGAGGATTTTGCTCCAGATCGGAACGTCCCCAAAGTTCAGGAATGGGGGGAGCTGAAGTTTGATTAGGAGTGCGGCAGTTCTGACTGCAAAGGCGCCACCTTCCATGGCAACACACACTGGCCTCTGCCACCATGAACACGAGAAGATACTCTGCATTCATGGCAAATGAGTGTGGCCGCTCTCCCTTTAACAGGCCTCCAGGGGAGAAGGATAACAAAGGAGCATGACCAAGTATTTTGCAGTGATCCACATCTGCTCCTCAGTCACAAAAACTGGTGCAGGTCCCAGCTATGCTGTAGCACTAAGTCGAGCAGCTGCTAGGTCTGAGGGGCTCTATACTGACCCCCTCCACCCCGCCTACACCAGCTGTCAAGCAATGCACCAGGAACGCGCTTTTCAGAGCTGTTAAAATAACAGGTGCCTAGCGGGTGGGAGGGGACCCAAAGCCCAACAATCTGGAGAGAAGAGTCAATGAGGCTGCCACTCTGACTCTTCCGGTATGAGCTTCTCTGGTCCAAGGGGACCTGCTGGCTGGGCAGGGTGCAGTTTGATTAACGCTAATGCTCAGAACTCCCAGTCTTTGCTTTAAGTGTCTAACATTAGCCTTAAACCCCAGGTGGCCTCTGTGGTGCAGCCCAACGTGCTCCCTGCTATGTAGCTACGTCCTAGTTCGTTAACAGATTTTCGGTGTAACTTCAGGACCGATACCGGGAAAGAGCTGTCCCAGCCTGTTTGGCAAGGCTGATTCAGTAACACGCAGATATGGGACTTGAGTTTCTCACAGCAGCTAAACGTGGGAGTACTGCGAGGACACACAGCTTCTCTAAGGCTTAAATCTTACAGTCACCCTATAGCTCTCCCAGCTGGCCCCTGCGCGTCACCGAGGCCATTCCCAGCAATATGCAGGATCATCCCTTTAAGGTGTCACCTGCAGGTTTCCAGGAAGCCCTCCCAAGCTACAGCTGCTATCCTGTAGATTTCAGGACCAGCAGCCACCCGGTCTGAGATCATCTGGTATGATTACTTAGGAGGGTCTCCCAAACCTGTTGGAGAGCTGTCACTCCATAAATGCCTCTGTCTTGAGCATATGCTGTATCTCAAGGGGTTAACCAAGAGTTAATAGGGATGGATGTTAGCATGAACCCACAAGTTGAGGGGAGAATGACATCATCTGCTTCCACATCTCCTCATGTGTGTACTTCTACTGGTAAATACCGCAGCTTTACCATTTAAATACCCTGTCCTGGACGGGAAAGCCCTTTTATGCATTTCTACTGGAGCAAGCATTAGTAACAGTAAGTAGCCCCAAGGACATGGCTGTAAATGTCCACCACATACAAAGCTGTCAGTGTGTAGGTATTAGCGCCAGCTTGATATGATCCTCCATTTAGGTTTGGCAGATGCTACACTACTTTCTCTTCCCCAGTTAGCGTTGATGTTCTTCTCAAGTTCTCTTTTACTTTAATAAATTCTGGTGCATGTTCTTCATGCTTCTCCTGTCCTCTCTCCAGCTAGAAGAAAGAAAGTGAATGTTATTTGTCTGCTAGGGAATAGCAGTGCAATCCATTCACTACATTGTTGCAGGTTTCATACTTAATTACTACTGGCCGGATTCGGTAGCTCTTACTCACACTGAGAAGCATCTTGTTCTGCTATTAGTCCTGTTCATAGACTCATAGACTTTAAGGTCAGAAGGGACCATTATGATCATCTGGTCTGACCCCCTGC